GTGCTGACCATTATAGAGGTCTGTAGTCACTACAGGTATGTGTTTGGGGCCAGCAGGCTAAGCTGATGTTGTATCTTTCTGCAAGCACTTGTACAACAGTGTCATCTCAAATTTACCTTCACATTTTAGAACTGGTACACTCTTTGGATGTTTGGGTTGAAGAACTTCTTTGTTGATTGGTGGATTTGCTCAATTAGTCTGATTATTTGTAATTGATATTTGTGCAAGTTCCTCAGATTGGCAAGTGCCAAAATCAGGAGACATGGAGCTTGAAAATTGCTGAAAATTTCTGGGAAAAGAAAGCTTCTGTCAAGGCCACAATGTTTGACATGAACAAGTGGTTTGGCGGTTCATTTGGGTTGGCTGTGGCAGGAATCAGCGGGCGGACAGGTTGTTGGGGTACTGGCAGACTTGAAGGAGCAGCTGTTTTTGAGGTATTCAAATCTAAAGCTGAATGTGTCCTTGAAAATGAACTACAATGTATGCCTTTGAGCAATTTTTAAACTACTCTGCATAATTGAAAGTGTGGATATTTACAGTTAGTTCCATTATGAGCTTCACGTCTGTCATTGACAACAACCACAGTTTGGTTTTGTCTTGAGTCTTAGTGGGGGGAAGTCTTTTCCACAGTCAGGACAGGGTGGTTGGCTATTTGTTGAGGAAATAGTATCAATTTGAGATATACTTTGGATAGAATGTGTCTGAAAATTCCCTTGAATGGGGAACAGTTTGCCTGAGAGATATTTGGGACAGAGAAGAGTTTGTGGGCTGAAGAGACATGTAAGTTCCAAAAAGGGGGATGGTCACCTTGCTGCAGGCAGTCCACTGGTGAGGTAATCATTGCATGACAAGGCAAGGGGGAACTACGCCAGGTCAACTACCCACAGCAAACTGAGGCATTCCAGTGCTATGCTTGGCTTTTTTTATTGAAAACGAAACTTATCTTTATTGGCAAAACCCAAGCCTACAATAGCCATGAAGACCTTTAAGAAGGCATCAGCTGACCTTATGATCAAATTTTGAGGTGATCGGAAGTGATTTTTTGTGAAATTTCAAACTAGACACCCCCTAATGTCACCATGAAGGTGGGGGCTGTCAAGTTTGAATTTTTACAACAAAAAACTACAACACAGGAAAGTTTTTTTATGAGTTTCCCAAGTTTTCATGATCACCTGTAAACTGCAATCAAGGCTTTTGCACACTTTTGTCATGGTCATCTGCCTGGTGATGAGAAAAGTACTGGTAAGAGGATGCAAGGTTGTCCTTGTGTCCACTATCAAGTCCACCTGTTTCCAAGAGTGAAAAATAAAGGCTAGGTCCTTGATTTTGTTTTGTAAACCTGACTGTTTATTTTTTACCAAAATGGGATACCTAAAAGCTTTACTGTTTTTGTAAGATTTATGTAAACTTGTGCTACAGCAGAAAGCATTTTTACGGTAAAAACTGTAAAAAATTTAAACTTGACATGCCTTAATACCCGCAATTCATCTTATCAAAGGTCCCATCTAGCACAGTGTACGCATGATAAGTGAATTGAGCTTTGAAGTAAGTTTTCAGGATCAGATGGTACCAGGTTTCCATCAAAGATCTGTGGTATTCAAAGATAAGATTATAAGCTGAAACAGGTTATCAGCTTGTGATTATGAATCCAACAAGTGCCTCTGTTTACAAATTTCCTTGATTATTTATTGTGTGGACTTCAGAGAGGCCTGTGTAATAAACTTTACTCACACCAGGTTTCACCTGGAGAACATCCGCTGTTCAACTCATTGGAGTCACAGTGGCTTTAGCACACTATGGTTGACTACACTCTCCAAGGCATGTTTTCAAAATATGGCCGTGCAACATGATCCCACAAACAGTATAATTGAAGATTAACTGGCTCAGCAGAATCAAACACAGGAATCAAAAGTCCTCTGTTAGATACGTATATATCATCATGATTTTTGATGCTATCTCAGGAAACGTGAGGGCACAATATATGGGCAGATGAAGATGCCATTGAGTTGGCAATACTGAAAACATAAATTCTCAAGAAATTGAAAAGATAAGCTTCAGATAAAAGCACTGGTGTGTAAAACTTGAAGGCGGAGATGTTCAAGTCCACCTTTGTGAATGAGTCACACTGTGATTGAGGTCTGAATTGAGATCTAAACTTGTCTTGGAGTTTGATTTTGTGGGCCCTTTCAAAAACTCTACAGCTCTGTATATTTCCTGCTGGGACCTGCCACCTTCCGTTCCACATGGAATGGGGGCCGTTATAGAGCTTGATTAAATTTAGTAATTCTACCTGAGCAATGAAACTTGCTGTACTTCAAACAGAGTAGTCAACATACACAGCCCTCAGCAGTGGAACAAATTGAGCTGAAGCATTTTGAAAAATTTCACCCTGCTTGCCCCTCATGGTCACACAGTACACTGTATTGTACAATATATACCAATCATTGTTTTTTTAAACAAACTCTGCCAGGTCTCTCTGTTATGATCCTGTTTCTATACCCAATGAGTCTTTTTTCCCTTGTAGTAACCATGCGCTAAACTTATCATTACTATCTCCTCATATCATCACCAGATCAGAAAAAACCCGCCAAATTTCTTCATTAACTAGAAATGCTTTAAACTCATTCCCATTAGCCACATTGATATACTCATGTTTTTTCTGCCTTGAATTATGTTTTCATCCTACTTACACCCATCATTGATGACAGGTGCCTTTTATTGACCCATATCTCAACCATTCATTCTACCTTCTTCATTGTGGTCCATCAATGTAGCCCTCTGATCACCAGATAGTTCTGCAAAGCAGATAAGGTATGACTTCAAATTTCACCCAAACCTTAGCTTTTTTGATATATAAAAGCACAAAAAAGACTAGATCAACAGCTTTCTTTGATCAATATGCCTTGTTTTAGTAAATAAAATTAAATTCTTCCGGGACACTCATCATTTCACTCTAGTTTTTTCATTTGAATTCATATCTTCTGATTCTGGCATAAAATCTCACTGATCCTACTGCTTTTGAAATTATTATATCTAACTTCCCTACATATTTACATCTTTTTCACTTTCTTCTAATTTCTTGTAATGTGTTTAAACCCTTCTGGACAACCACTGATCCAAAAGCCCTAATTACTCAGTATTAGCACCAATTTTTGTGTAGTCAAGATGCAGCAACTTGTACAATATATCCACAAAAAATGAGAAATGATTTTTAATACCCTCAATGAATATTGAAAACCATTTTAATAACTGTGCTGCAAGCTTGCAGATTTCTATTTCACAAGGGGTAGGGGTGACTTATTATTTGGACAGGAGATCCAGCACTGTGGTTAATAATGATAATCAATTCTCTTGAGACAACTCCTTTACAATCAGGCCAATGTCAATGTATGTTGAATTTCCAAGCCCAAAGATGTACATACTCCCATAGAAATTAAACATAATGACTCCAACTACATGTACAAAGTGAAGCAGATTAAAGTGGTTCAAAACACATCAATCTCAGTTCTGATACCCTAGCTTGATTCACAGTCCTGCTGTGTAGGGTTTTCAAAGTTTTTGTTGGATGTTGTTGATTTTGTAATGTTGATTTGGTCTTGATTTGGTTTTTGACATTGCGTAAACTTTTTGTGGGCATATGCATTGTAGTGCATTTGAAAACCACAATGAAACTGTGTTATAGAAATTTAATTTCTGTTTTCAATTACATGTTTTTTGGAAAACCAGAAACAATTCATCTTCAAAATTTTCTTATCATCTAACATCCTTCAATTCCATTTGAAGAATGAGAAAAAAAATCACTAACATCCCTCTCAATTTGAAACCGTCATCCTATTTTATCATCACACTGATAGTATGTCTATAATTCAAACAATCAGTGTGATAATATACCTGGTATCCTCTTGTACTTGTGAATGGAAGTGTGTACCAAGCAATGAAATATTTGTGTGTTTGGCAATTTAGTTAATCAAATCCATCTGGTAGCTCTTCATATGCATGAGGTAGATTCAATGAGATCAGTCAAAACCTCAACAAAAGAAAAGAATTGTTGATCCTGATAAGATAAATGGCATTGAAAAAGCAATGATATCAATTGGGTGGCTATATTGATTCTATTTGCATAATGATTAAGTGGAATAAAAGAGGCGAGAGGAAGAAACCCAAAGGGGTCAGATTAAGCCAAGTACCCTTTCACTTCACAGGATCACTTTTCACAAACACCCAGCACATGAGATATTCTCAATGTATTAGTAACATAATATGCCCCTTCACTCAAAGAACACAAAGTTGTAGAATTTACAGGATAGATGCCCTTTGGCTCTAGGTTTCAACTTTGAACAGTCTTCATTAATGTCTTGAATAAATGTATCACTTTGCCAAAAATTGCAAGCATTATACAAGCACCTAGCCAAAGACTGTCTTATATTACACTGAACTTTCATTCAAAGGATTGAATATGTATTCTATTGAATAGTTAATTTCACCTGGATCAGTAAATCTAACCACCAGTAGTTTGTGGCATCCCTCCTGTTCCAGTAGGTAAGATCATTTGTTCCTCCCAATAACAGGTAGATCAACTAGTGTGTATATTCAAGGTAAATTGTCATTCAGTGTTGGGTGTGGTTAAGGACTCTAGGTAGATAACCTATGTCTCAAACAAGCAGTATATGAGATCAGGAAGGACTGTATTGATTGTTTTTGGCCTGAATATTGATATATTGAAAAGCAAGGTAGAGCAGAGCAGAGGTATTGATGAGTTGTAGAATGGATGAGCAAAGAAATTGGGATATGAGAGGATATGAGATCAGTAAGGTTCAGCGTTATTGATCTTTGAGATGAAGAGTTGATGTGACATGTCAGATTCAGGAGTTGATGAAGCCGTTTCAAGTTAAAATTTAAGAGATAAAGTGAGTTTAGTTTAAGACTTAAAGCCATAACTGACCCTTTATTTAATATTTTTTCATTTAAATTTGAATTTTTTGTTCTCGGATTTCCAACTGACATCTTTGATTTGACTTTTCATTCCAAATTCAATCACCTCAAATCACTTTGTTCAACTTCAACTCTTTCAAATATCAACTACACTTTGACTTCACTTCCTTTAGTTGATCAAAGTCTCTAAAGTCATCTCAACTGAAGAGGAACAATCCTCACCGTCTTCAAAATCCACATCAAAATCTTTTTAGCAACCATTCTCGTCTATACATCAAAACTCACTCTTCGTCTACCACCCGACCTTTTACTTCTTTCTAATCGATTCTCTCCTGTTTGTCTTATTCCTTCTATCAATCTTTTTATCATCCTATGCTAATTGATCTTCTTCTCAACCCTATCGATTCCAACCTTCAGGGATCGTTCATGTCTAGCGCCCCGACATCCTTTCAACCTGACTTACACAACAATTTGTGTCGCAGTTGGCCACCGGCTAGCATCAATCTTTCAAATCCTCCTCCCATTTAAATCAATTTGCCTATCTTAGGCTATTACCATTTTCACCATTTTTCTCACTCGTGAGTCTCGTTTTATTCCATTCTACATCGGAAATCAAACTCAATTGAAGATCTTTGTCATCTAACCCCGCTTCGCAATCCATCTGTATTCAGTGCCATTCTACTTCTTTTACCTTACATCATCAACATCATTATCACCTTAACAATAACTTGAATCTTTCATCATGGCTGTCGGAATCGTAAACATTGGCAAAGATGCCCGTGGTGATATGTTTCATCGCTACAAAATGCCTGTCCTTCAAGTCAAAGTCGAAGGCAAAGGTAATGGAATCAAAACTGGTTTGTCCACCGAAGATTTCGATTCCAATGATCACTTTGACTACAAACCTACTCTTTCTCACATGGTCTTCTTTCTGGTTTGCTTTGAAAATATCAGTGATTCCGAACATGTCGGACATTGCACGAGCTCTCGCTCGCCCACCTACATGTATGTTTCTTTATTTACTGGTTCACCTCTTGACTATTTCCTGATGTGCATTTCGTTTGACATACTACTCAGACACTACCAAATTCTTTGGATGCGAGCTTGGAGCTCAAACAACCTTTGATGAGAAGGTCGATCGTTATATCGTCAATGGAGCCCATCAAGCCGATCGTCTCCGTGAACTTCTTGACGTCTTCATCGATAAATTCGTACTCTGTCCATCTTGCAAGAACCCTGAAACCGAATTACTGGTCGGTCGTGACGAGATCATTTCTCGAGATTGTAAAGCTTGCGGTCACCGTGGGCTTGTCGATAATCGTCACAAGTTGTGCACCTTTATCCTTAAAAACCCACCCGAGAGTGCTAAGAAGAAGAGCAAGAAGGACAAGAAGAAAGCCAAGGATGACAATGAGGGCGGAGATGCTGCCGGTGGCTCAGATGAAGGTCACAATAGTCAAGACGAATTGACTAAACGGATTGAAGGCGAAGCGGTTGACGTGAAGACGGCCGAGGCTCAATCTTTGTTGAAAGACGAGGATTGGTCTGTTGACACCTCGGCTGAGGCTGTCAAGGCCCGCATGAAATCCTTGGAGGCTGGTATCCAGAATGGCTTGAGCTTGGGTGACGAAGATGAAGAGGATGCTGGTGGTCCTTACGATTCGTTTGGGGAGTGGGTCACCGAAAATCGATCGTCGGCTACTAGTGCTGAGGTGATGGCGAAAGCTAAAGAGCTCGGTATCGAGAAGAAGCACAAGGCTGTACAAGTCTTGGCGCAAACTTTGCTCACTGAAGACGCCGTCAAGGAAATCGGCAAGCACGAAGCGTTATTTGTCAAGGTGAGCGTTCTTGGTTTCACTTTCACTTTATATGTATTATGTTCACTCACACTACGTGTTTTGTTATGCAACAAAGATGGTCACTTCTGAGAAACATCAGAAATCTCTTTTGGGTGGAGTTGAAATCTTATGTGGTGACATCTATCCGTCTTTGGTCCCGCTTGGAGTGCCTAAGATTGTGATGGCTCTCTACCAAGCTGATGTCTTGGATGAAGAAGTTATTAAACAATGGGGTACTCACGTATCTAAGAAGGTACGCTAATAAGAATAACCTCGTTTTCTGATTTTTAACTGATTTACTTTGTGGGTTTATCTTTCAGTATGTTGATAAAGAGAAGAGTAAGAAAGTCAGGAGAGCTTGTGAGCCTTTGTTGAAATGGCTAGATGAGGCTGAAGATGAGGATGAATGAGTTGTGATTTTTTTTCTTGAAAAATTACACCTGTGCGATGATTTTTCTTTTACCCAACACGTCTTCCTCTTCCTTTACTTATCTTCACCATGCGTTATGTTTACCATTTTGTGGGATGGTACTTGTTGAGTTTGGTTTTGGTTTGAATGAGATACATGGGACTGAATCATTACCAAAGAGTTTTTATTTTCTTTTACTTTTATTTTTACCAATGTGAGATCCAATTTTCTGATGGCAATTGATATACATGTGTGTAACTTCGTTTTGCGGATGTTGAGTGGAGAAGGGCCTGCGAGAAGACAATGGGAGGTGGAGTTCACATTTAGAAGCTTTGGTGGTGTACATACATCCCATCAATGGTGGTTGCTTGTTGGATCTTTTTCTGAAAAACGAACAGTAATCCCAGTTCTTGTGTGTATACAATACAATTTAGTTCAGGAGATTCCAAGTCTACACCTGGCTAAACTATGGAGCATGTGGCAAAAGAGGAGATTGAGCCAGAGCTGAGTGTACTCATGTTTGTAAATTGTTGGTATCAGTTATCTGTTTTGATTTGACTATGGACTCTATACCTCTACCCAATTAGGCTTCAGGTAGTCCAATTTGGGAATCAACATATTGTTTACTGATCCAAAAACAGAATAGAGTCCCGTGGATATTGAAATCCCGCTTTGGGTATGAACATACTATAGCCACATGGAAAATGATCAACAAGTTTACCTTTTAAAGAGGCCTTTTCTGTGACAATCTTGTCCGGGTGAATGATGATCTCTATGAAGAGTTACTAAATTGTTAATGCAAATTTTCTGATCTGAAACACAGTCGAAGCTGGCGATTCCTAAGAAATGAAGTACCTGATAGGTGGTCTGCAAGCCATTTCAATTTACAGCATTCATCTACATCCACTTCAATTCATATGAATCTCCATCAGAGAAAGCTTTTGGGCCTTAGTCAAAGAATTGTCAATCCTCTCTTTCTATTTGTACCCACTCGTATCAAAGCATCCTGTATAAACAACCAAAGTGGACAGCAATCTTCAAAATGTGGTAAATATGTTCAGATTATGATTGCCTTTGTCAAAGTGTTGTTATGAAATCATCATTATCAGGTTCACATGAGAAAAGAAAAACAGAATGCAAGAAATATTTGCTTATATACATGATTGATAAAATATCACAAGAATGCCAATATATACTTCGAACAGATTGTTAGAGTAGCTCTGATTTGATGGTTTATTCTGTTCTCATCTGGTTCTCAGATACTAAAAATACAGATCTTGATCCATCAGGATGAACTTCCAGTGTACGCCTTCCAAGTTCAGTTACTCCATCGTACTTGAGAGTCCAGAGTCTTATCACAAAGTTAAATATTAAAAAGAGGTAAAAATGAATGAATTCAATGTATTTGCATCAGACTTAGATGAGCAACTTATAAGACAACTCACTTTGGATTTGTCCACATCCCACGTAGAGAGGCTCCTAGTTCACCACCTGGACTAGCTTTTACGGTCAAACGAGCTTCGAATGCTTGTGTTTTGGGGCTAGGAAGATACACCAGTACAGCAAAGTCCAGAGAAGGACTTTGACGGGCAAGTGATTTGAAAATTCGAAAATGGTGCTCAGCAAACGAGTACTTCCATCGGAGTATCAGAATTGTAATATTCAAATCCAAATGTCTTACAGAACTCCAGCGTGCGCAACGGGATCTTCGGTCATCGTCAACAACAATGTGTTGGTTTCGATTCCAGAGCCGAGGAGATATTGCGAAGATGTTTCATCTTGAGATCTGGAACGAGTATGTCTAAGAGCTATTTTTCCATACTGGCGGAGGGTAACTGGTCAGAAATACTCGGAAGAAAACAAAGATTGAGACCACTTACGGGATCAATGCCAAGTGCGAGGCCAACAGAGTTCTCTCTACGTCGATGCACCGTACTGGATTCGCCAGTTTTATGAAGGATTCCCTGAGTGGGGTAGATTGCCTAGCAGGATCAAAAGAGGCGTCAACCCGTTAGGATCTCTCAGGACTTTGCAAAGCTTGCATACACGTTGATGAATTATAAGAAGGATGCAGGCAAAGAATGATTACCTTGATAACTGGATTTTCACCTTCTGGATCATCCGGTCCGGGAAACATGGAAAGAGTGATTTCCGAGTGTTTGATTCTTGCTTTTGGGTTACAAGGATGAAATACGATTTGGAAACCTACGTGGAAAGATTTTTTATAATCAATATTTGAACAAGCTGTATAAGATTTCGTGACAAATTTTTTGTCTGATGAACAATGAAGAACCTCATCAACCTAATAGACAGCTTTGAAAAGCAAGAAAATCTCCAGGATAAAAACAGTGAGTCTTGGTCACCAGCAGTCTTGTGTCAATAAAAAATGCATTAATATTAGTACAATGTTTGCAAGCTTTGACTGACGCTGATAAAAATGTCGAGCTGCTTACCTGCTCTTGGCAACTTTGACATCTGCAATTAGTGGCGAAGATGGTCTGGCCGATGCAAGTAAGGGGGAACGCGCCGATGAGAAAACCGGAGAAGGGCTATCACAAGGGTGAAGGTGAAAATGAGAGTATGTGGAGCGTGGTGAGCACAACGTGCTGCTTTCCGAAAACAGGTGGCGTGATGCTGGGTCTATGGTCGTGTCGGACTTGGAGCGCAATCGACCTTTCATTGGGGTAGCCTCCTTCGGAGTTTGTGAGCTAGAAGGTGAAGGTCCAAGTAGTCGAAAGCCTTCAAACCCAAGGATCGCTGGTGCTCTCTCTTGAACAGATGTCGTTCGATCTTTTGTCGCGGACAGCGATAGGATGCCTGCAACTGAATGTCTTGGTCCTGGTGAGAGTACAGTCGGAACTTCGAAACTCTCGCCTAGCGGTTCAAGAGACGACGTGGTTGAACAGAGGGAGGAGATTCGGGAGCTTGCTTGATCCAACTCCATATAGGGTCCTGACATTGGGTAAGATGGCATTCCTGAATCGTTGTCATTGAGCGCAAAACCAACCGAGCGTCTTCTGGCTGGAATTGGCTCCTCCGATGAACACGCAGCTTTGGGATCCTCCGTAACACAAGTCATCAAAGAAGTTCTAGGGTGTTTGGCACGACGCTCATAATCTGCATCGGGCTGAACGTCTATGGAAAATGTGTTGGAAGAAGGCAATGCAAAATTCTTCGGCCTTGTCGTATCTTGAGGTGAAGGTACCAAATCCCCAGAAGCGAAATCTTGGTCAGGAGTGCTCATGCTTGTAAGCGATGTTGAAGTTGAAGGCAGAAAGTCCGGCAATGGTAATTAGACTTCAAGTTGAGAAAGAAACGTCCAATTTTACTATTATATAATAGTTTCCTTGAGGCTTGCAGACTTAAAAGATGATCGAGACTCTAGAATGTAGCTGAAGATCAATATGACGACGAGTGAAATGATTTGTATCGGGTATTGAGTCTAGAAGAAGCCCCTCATATACAAGAGCTAGCAGCTTGTCTAGATCACTTCACATCCAGAGCTCAGGTACCACCACTCGGATTGTCTTGCAAGAACGATCGAAACGAGATCCTTGAATCTTATGGGACGTCATGCATAGTCATGTTTGACCGTGAACAACCAAGGACTCCATAACGGTCGATGATGGACGGTCGTCTGAGTCCTCAACGATCAACTGCGATAGGATCGGTTTGAGGTTGAGGGGGTCGGTAAGATCACACTGGATCAGATATGTTGACCAGGAGTATGAAATCTGCCGCCAGTAAATCCAGCTAGCGCACTGGTCCTAGAGCTCGGATAACTTATCGCAACGATTTCCTGTCCGAAATAAAGGCGTTCTATTGTTGAAGTGCAAGTGGACATACTGTAAAAACGGAGGAGCCAACGTGGAGAAGAAGGATATCATGAATGATGATTCTGAAGCCAGGACCTGGTCTTATGCGCTCTCCTCGGAGAGTATGAGAACGTTTCTACTTGTGATCTTATCTCTCACACTCAACTTATTGGGCCTCGGACTTGTCCCGGGGTGCAGAGTTGTAAACCACTCCGCGGGGGCTTGTGCAACAACTTAAACAAGTGACCGAGTCCCTGTTGGCGTCATATCGTCCGCTCCAGTACAAACTTAACATCAGTCCCTATGGATGGACCTAACCACCATGGTGGAGTTGGAAGTTTGGCTCCAGCAAGGGACTATGTTGGAATTTTGGTGTGAGTTCCGTCCGGGTATTTTCACAAAAACTCCCATTTCCCCTGCTCGGTAAACTAGTTGCAACCTCAAACTAGATGAGTTTGAGTTGATAATCCATTTGCTACAATTGTGTCAGCGTCACATTAATTGAACAACAATGAGCCAATCATTCCATTGAAAATGTATTGTTTTGAATGTATTCTTGAAGCCGAAAAAAATCCTTTTTGATCACTTCCTTCAATTCAACTTTCTTCTTGTGCAACCAATTGATCACTCATCAAGCGTGGGAATTTTGCTCAAAAATATGAGAATATGTCTTTTAGCAAACAATCAAAAAGGTGACTGATTCAAAGGAAAATGATAGAACCTGTCATCCTTTATTAAGTAAAACAATGAAAGAAGGTGGTACCTAGCAGTGCTTTATTCAACTTGGTTTTATTTCATTTGTCTTTGAGAAAGGAAAGGTGAGGTGAGGTAGCTATCTACAAAGTTTTTGAGTAAAGAAGTAGAGTAGTTGATAAAGATGAAATTAAAGGATTGTGTTCATGTCACAATTGAGTAACTGGTGATGATGTAGATTTAGAGGATAAGTTGTTCCTGCATCAGAAATTCATGTATTGCTCATTGTGTGATACAAGAGCTCTCCATCATTCATGGAAACACTGGATTGTGTATGATTGCAGCCTCACGGATGTTATGGCATGGTTGTTCATATGATTTTCCAATTGCACTTATATCACTCTTGCAAGATTTTTCAAGTGTGTTAAGGCCTCGGTGTGGGGTTCTCGGCGGGGATCAAGGTTGGGTGTCTAATAAGCTATGCAGATTGTCGTATGAAGAAGAAAGAGAAAAGACAACTGTGGTTTGTACAACATAGTCTAATCTCGTGTCTGTGACATCTACTACCCGGTATTTCACTAACAGTTACATGTCTCTTGAGGATCGTAACATTATCCCCCTTTTTACGCCCAAACTCCCTCTTGCAAGTTCTGCGTTCCTTCCACGGGCAGCATTAAAAAACCCAGTGGGAAAAAGCTTGCCCTCTCTCATTTTCTCCTTGTCCTTTTGTATTTACTTGCTGCATTTGGGAATTTGATGTTGAATTCATTCACTAAATCTTTGCTATTTGATAAATTTTCCTCAGGTTCCCATGAATTGTGTTCAGTTCCAAACCCTTTCCAGCTGACTAAATATTCCTTCTTCCTATACCTTTTTCTACAGTCTAATATTTCTAATACTTCCCATTCTTCATTTCCTTCCATGATTGTTGGCTGCGGTTCGGATTCCTGACGACCTTCAATACCGTCTGTTTTGTGTTTCCTAAGTAGAGAGACATGGAATACTGGGTGTATACCCCTCATTGACGTAGGTAAAGTCAGCTCATATGCGGATCTTGATATTTTCTTGGAGATGTTAAAAGGACCCATCCACTTATGATCTAATTTAGGACTAGGCCTTGTCGTCGAAAGGTTCTTGTTGTTGAGCCAAACCTGGTCGCCAATCTTCCAATCGGGGGTTGAGCGGATGCCCTTGTCGAACCGAATTTTCATCTCTTCCTGTGCTGTCTTCAAACACTCAGTCAGTTCCGATTGTACATTGATTAGTTCTGTCAGTCTTTTCTCTACTGAAGGTATACATTGTTCTGCGGAGGGGATACCACTGAAACTAGGATTATACCCATAGTTTGCTTTGAACGGCGAGACTCCTGTCGAAGCGTGGTCCTTGTTATTGTACGAGAATTCGGCGATTGGTAAGAGAGTCTCCCAGTTGTCCTGTCGGTAGTTGACAAAGTGTCGAAGGTACTGCTCTACAACTTTGTTGACAATTTCGGACTGACCATCGGTGCGCGGGTGGTATGCTGTGGAAGGTTGTAATCGAATGCCTAGTCTCTTATCCAGTTCCTTTGTGATCTGAGAAATGAAGATGCTCCCTCTATCCGATGTGATAGTTCTGGGGGTGCCATGTAATTTCCATACGAATTTTACCATTAAGTCTGCTAATGTTTCTGCTGTCATGGATTCGTTGCATGGAATAAAATGGCTCATTTTCGTGAGGCGATCGACTACTGTGAGTATACTGTCTTTTCCGTTGGAAAGTGGCAGTCCGGTAATCAAATCGTAGCTGATGTCGACCCATGGTCCCGCTGGTACTGGTAGAGGCTCGAGAGATCCAAATGGCTTTTGAGTACTTGATTTGTTTCGTAGGCAAGAATCACATCCATCTACATATTTGTTTGTGTACGCTTTCTGGCTTGGCCACGTGAAGCTTCTCTTCACTAAACTAAGTGTCTTCGCCCTGCCCGGGTGTCCCGCTAGTAGACTATCGTGGCGACTGCGTAGGATTTGGCGTTTGATCTCGTTGTTGTTTGGCACTTCGATTCGCCCTTGATTATACACTATTCCATCATGTACTCTATAGTTGGCCGTTTTTTGACGTATTGCTGTAGATATGGGATTGGAAATTGCTTGTATAAGTTCCTTCAGTCTTGGATCATCATTAGTAGTCTTTCTGATTAGGCCTATGATATCTTCGTCGTTGAGGATGGGGTCGGTTGGTGTCTCATTGTTTACTCCCAAGACATCTACTTCGAACCAATGCTCTGCATCTGGTAGTTCAATCTCCTCGTTCTCAAAACAAGATTCAATACTTGCAACCTCGGGTTGAAAAGTGTCGGGTGTGATGTTTTCCGGTCTAAGCAGTTGACCAAAAGTTAATTTTTCGTCATGAGTTGGCGCTAGGTCTGGTCTTCTTGACAGTGCATCTGGTTTAGCGGCTTGTTGTCCTGGGCGGAATTTAATTTGAAAATCAAAGCATCCTAGAGTCTCGGCCCATCTAGCTTGGCGTCGGGTTAATTGTTTGGTAGTCATGAATGATTCAAGATTGCGGTGGTCCATATATACTATGACGTCCAATCTATTCGGGTTTCCTTCTAAGTAGTGCCTCCACTCTTTAAAAGACGCCACAATAGCAAGGAGTTCCTTATCAAATATTTCATAATTCCG